ATAAATATGGCTATCGTTATACATTTCGTGACAGTGGTATTATGAGTAAAGTAGGAATCGTCAGAGACAGAAATAGGAAAAAATGCGGAAAACGTTGGGAACAAATAGCTGTAACGTACACATGATGAATTTACAGACCGCTTACTCCCGCGATGCGAACACCTATTTGAGATACTCGTCCAACAGTAACAACAACTGTATAGAATCATTTAAAATATAGACACACCGTCCAAATAACTGGCAAATACACAGTCGATTGGCGCTATTTTACTACATACGTATAAATGAGAGGCGCGATCTCGATAAAAAGTTTTGGACAAAAGAAATGTTTATCGATGCACAGATGGTAGAGAGAGAAAGATAAAGGAGAAGACCTTTCGACGTTACACCGATCGCGTTCGCAATAAGCAGTCCTCGTTCGAGCGAGCGTATCAAAATCGGCAACAATCCGAAAGAAAAGGAGACGTGACACTCTCATTGGACGAACGGCCGAACGTAATCGAACAACGAAACGAAGTTTTTGTCGAAAAGCTTAGTAGAATCCATGAGAACTAAGAATTCATAAACACACACGTCTGTGCGATAACGATAAGGGTTTATCCCCTCGGTCGATTGTATCGAACGGTGATTCTTCTTCAAAGAATGCTTTGTCCGAACAAATTTTCTAAAAGTGTACTATGGATAATCCTGTCGTCGAAACTCTCATTTTGTATGTACATATGTATAGACAAAACAATCTATTCGTTTAATATAAAGTCACCGTCTGAATATTAAAGACAACAATGACTATGGTAATTTTATATATATATAATAAAATTATATATATATATATATAAAATAATAGAGATAGTAATAATAATAACGTGAACTAATGGTAGTAGCAATAATAGTAATTGTCACCATCGCAATTGCTACTCAACGATAATACTGACAATTATAGTGACAGTAAAAGTAAAAAAAAGGAAAAATATGAGTAGAAAAAAACCGAGAAGAAGGAGAAATTAAGATGAGCAATAATAGCGGTAATAAGAAAAATAATCAAAACCAGCTAGGTCCACCAAACTTCGTCGAAAGGCCACCAATGCCCTTGCCAAACATGCTTCCAACTTTCTCAACAACGTTCGAAGTAACATTGCTGATTAAATTCGCGTCTTCGCTGTTGACCGTTTCGACGACCGTTACCTTTGCTTTTGGTCGTTCTACCTCGTCGTCGTTACCATTCTCCGAAAGACCTCTATAGAATAAGAGAAACGAATAGTTGAAATGTCTTTATTCTCAATACAGAAGATAAAAAAAAAAAAATCAATACGCATAGTAGGTGGAAGCGACGTGATATATTGCATCAGTTTTTGAAATCAATCTCCGTTAGCAGTTTTATCAATATTCTCAAAATATAAATTAGATATGAGTTATATAACTGGAATACAAATTTTTTTGTACTTATGAGGAATTCAAAGCATAATACTCCTTATACTTAACGTTTGATAGACGAAACAATTTTTTATGTAAATTTTTAATTATATATTTATAAAATTCTAGTTATAATTTTTCCCTAAACAGGGAGGCAAATCTTTGATATATATTGCAAAAAAAAAACTAGTTCTTAATCAGTTGATATTGTATGAGGCTCTAAATTCTCATGGTTCTTAATATAATACATCTCCAAATACTTGTTACAAGTATGAAACATTATAGGTTTTGAGAACTAACATCAGTACGTCGCTTTTACTTACTATAAGTCATAGCTGAATCGAGAAGATACACTATAGGTATGAAGGTATATTATAAATACAGGTATCATAACTCAAATTATGAATACTCACTCTTCGTTCTGAACGCTCGTTAAGGCACAAGTCGCTTCTTCCGTTTGCATCCTCTTAAATATAGTCTGATATGTTGTCGAGTTAAGTTTCTCCTCTATAACACCTTGTAGCTCAAAATCCGAGTAAATTTTTTTTACGATATGGGCCAAACAGGTACATTGATATAGATGTAAGCTGTGATCAAGCCTTTCCGAAAGCCATGTGCACAGTATTTGTATTTGCGCCATGTACCATTGCTAAAGGAAAGAAAAACAGGAAGAAAAAAAGGAAAGATAAGTTTGTAACTGGGACTTTCTTTCTACACAACTTGAACAACTATCAATAGATTATAAATTCTCTAGCATAATACGTAGTAATAAGTCTGACATCTTGATTATTTTATCTGATTTAATAAATTGTAAAAGAGAAATCTATAACGTATAACTTGTCAATTCATTAATATTAATATAGTTGGTAAATTATTCTGCAAATCTTAATAATTCAAGTAAGAAATACTTTTTAGAGAAGAGAAGTTATCTATAATACCTCAAAGAACGTTAAAATCCATAATTCATCGAAAACTTTGCCTCGAATCTGGTCCATACAGTTTCTTGTAAAACTTACGTAGGCCTGTCCCATTTCCTTTCCACTTCCTGATACCTTCTAAAAAAAAGTTTCATAAATAGCTCAAAAAAAAATAAATGCGTCAATTTTTTATTCGCATTGGGCGTAATATAAAGATAAATTACCGTTAAACTGAGAATGGATCCTATGAAAGATCCTTCATCGTAACGAGATAACTTGGATAAAGTAGTCTCTAGAACCGTGACTAGCTTATTAATCATCCCTTGGGTCATGGTGGCCGATGTTTTTTCTATCAAATCGTCGATCTTGGCATGGTATTGGTGCTGAAAAGAAATCATAATCGAAAATAATTAATAGTGAAATCAATGCAGTGTGATATGATCTCTGACGAGGAATCAATCTAAAATCAATCTAAAATTTTCAATTATTATTATTATATAGGATATATATTTTTAGGGTATTCTTAGGTATGAAATGTAAGATATATGTCAAAATATAATTAGAACTGAGCAATTAAATTTATTAATCTTAGTGTTATCATTTCTGTAATTATTATATAGAAATCTGACGATTATAATTCTATTTTATAGTTATATTTTATATTTAATTAGTTATGAATAAATTAATTCTCTACTATTTTTCTCTGTTCATCATTGATTTATGAAAGTTCATAGTAACATAATAAGTAATAGTAAAACTTATATTCTACATAACTGCAATTGCTCACGAAAGTACTCACAAAAATTTTATAAAAATCTTCCCTAAAAATATTACGTATTTTATACGGGATATTATTGTGAAATTTCATTAATACGAAATGTGATAAAACTCGACTATCGAAATTTGACAAGAATTTGCA